GAAAAACGAAAGCTTTGATCGAAAAGTTTTGAAAGCAATATTTTGATTGAAAAGAAAACTTTGATATAAAGAAAAATTTGAAGTAAAAATTTGTTTGAAGAAAATTGTGAACCAAAAGTTTTGTTGTGAATATTTTAAGCGAAAAGTTTTCTAAAGAAAATTTTGAATAAAAAGTAAACTAAAGATAACTTTGATCGAAATGTTTTCAAGAAAAAAATTTGAATGAAATGTTTTTTTAAGGAAAACTATAATTGATAAGTCTACTGAAGTGGAATTTGTTGGAAAAGTTATTCATAGAAAAAAAAACTCTTTTAGAATGTTCTAGATTTTGTATGTACAATTTTGTTAATTACTGTATGCACTAACTACTTAGATTTTATACTCTTATCAAGTGATAATAACAAAGAAGCTGTCACTTTAAATTTTAGAATTTGACAAGTGCATGAAATTCAAAATGACTGAGTGCTAGAGATTAATCATCAATCAACAAATGTTGTAGAATTTAATAAAAATTGCATAAGTTTTTTTTTTGTTAAATACCGGCAAAATAAAATGTTTGAAAACTTTGTTAAATGTAAACATTGTGTAAAACAATATTTTGGATGTTTTTGGTTAAAAAAAAAAAATAATATGCAGTCAAAACCTAAATAAGTAGAAGGTGACAAAAATACCAAAGCCCAGCTTAAGCGGTACTATTAAGTAACAATATTCAGAGCAAAATATAAATGACATTTTTGTTGTTTCTGTTTTAACATTAAACTTACACTCTAGGAATAATAATGAGATCACAACATTTTTTAGATAATAAAATCCATTTTTTGTGTGTTTTTCTGCTTATTTTGGAAGTCTATTAAAGATGTTTTTTTTAAATAAAAATCAAAGTAAGATCTTTTTTTCGTTTAGGGGAATATTTCAATTACAGCTAAAAACAAGTATGAAAGTATAGTCGGGCGTGGCCGACCATATGATACCCTACACCATTCATGAATATTAAATGTGATTTATTTTTCATAATATCGCATTTATCTTCAATATTCCCTTGTTCCGATACATTTAAGCAATTTATGGATGAAAAACTAATTTTCTGAAAGAGGCTTTATATGGGGGCTAGGGGCAAATATGGACCAAGCCCGATAAAATTTTGTGAATATATTTATATTTACATAATATTTTATTGTGCTGAATTTCATCGCGATATTTGTGTTTATAAGTTGATTTGGGACATTCAAGTAATTTTCTGAAGGGGACTTTGTATGGGAGCTAGGGTCAAATGGGGCCCGATCTTTATGAAATTTGGCAGGGTTATCAAGACTTTTATAAAACTTAGTTGTTCCGTATTTTATCGATATATCTGTATATTTAACATAATTATGAGCTCAGAAGCCCTTTTCGGGCGGTTCTGTTCTATGGGGGCTAGGTGAAATAATGGACCGATTTTAACCATTTTCAATAGGCTTCGTCCTTGGGTCAAATAAAACGTGCGTGCCAAATTTCATCCAATTATCTTGAAAATTGCGACCTGTAGCTTGCGCACAAGGTTTACATGGACAGCCAGCCAGCCAGCCAGACGGACGGACGGACGGACATAGCTTAATCGACTCAGAAAACGATTCTAAGCCGATTGGTATACTTTAAGGTGGATCTAGGACGAATATTTTTGTATGTTACAAACATCAGCACAAATCCAATATACCCTCCCCACTAAAGTGGTGTAGGGTATAATAATACAAAGGGTCATAATTGTTTTATTTGAAAAACGTTGATCTTATTTCAGCCAGTGGCTGGCGGTAGTAGGCACACTTAGTTTATGAACGCGTAATAATTTTTTTTATTTTTATTAAATTTCAAAAAAAATTACCACGCACTTGACATTGTTATCACGTTTACTACCCAAAAAAACAACAGCTTAAAACTTAAATTAAAAAAAAAAATATTTAAAACCCTCTCAATTGATTACGTGTAAATAATGTGAGTTTGTTAGAGTTACGTATTTAGTTGAAAAAAAAATAGTTAAATTTTTGTGGAATCGCTTAAGCTCTTCTCTTGATGTTTCCATTTTAGCCAATTACATATTTGCAGACGTGTTTGGACTGCATTCAATTTTTTTTGTATTGCTTGGAACGCCTGGACGTTTTGTTTTGAAGGCTGCGTTAAAGTTTTGCATTTTAATAGAACTTCATAAATTTTAAATGCTGTTTGTATTTATTTATTTTTTTTATTATTTGCCATTATTTTTTAAACAATTGTTGCCATTTGTTGGTTCAATAAATTGTGTAAATAATTTATTTTAACAAATTTACGTTTTATGCAATTTTTGCTTTGAGTAGTAACTGATTACGCGTCACACTTTCACTGATTACGAACGCGTCTAAAACCTATATGTTGTTTGCATTTGCTGTTGCCATTTCTTTGCAAATCGGCTAATTTAGATGTCTAATAGATAATTGAAAAGTATTAACTATTACGTAAAAGATTAGATTTTCAATAAGATCAATTAATATGTTGAAGTTATCGTGCTATAGATGTTTAAAATTGTATCAATATCAAAATGGAATACCAATTATTGTTGACGTTCGAAAATTAGTTTCGCTGAACGCAAGGCCTAAAATAATCGAATGGGTTTTTTTTGCCAAATTTATTCTAACTGTTAGATTGGTTATAAAATCAATTGAACTTTGTATTATGCTATTTGCAAATACTTAAGATTGGAATATTTGTATTTGGTTTGAATTGAAGGCTGTGCATGCAAAAGCTTTTTTGCAAAGAATAATGTTATGAATAAAATACTGAGTTTTAAATCGATGCCAGTCGAGTGTATAAATAGTACACTGAAGGTCAAAGAATATGACCCTAACCAATTAGAAATTTATCGAAATCATTTGCTTTATTAAACTGGGGGAATTTTTTTTCTACAACAAACACAATAAAAACTATTCTTTAACTGAAACTCGGTCCATTTCCGTTCTAGTTCAGTTCTAGTTGAGTTTTAGTTCAGTTCTAGTTCAGTTCTAGTTCAGTTCTAGTTCAGTTCTAGTTCAGTTCTAGTTCAGTTCTAGTTCAGTTCTAGTTCAGTTCTAGTTCAGTTCTAGTTCAGTTCAGTTCTAGTTCAGTTCTAGTTCAGTTCTAGTTCAGTTCTAGTTCAGTTCTAGTTCTAGTTCAGTTCTAGTTCAGTTCAGTAGTTCAGTTCTAGTTCAGTTCTAGTTCAGTTCTAGTTCAGTTCTAGTTCAGTTCTAGTTCAGTTCTAGTTCAGTTCTAGTTCAGTTCTAGTTCAGTTCTAGTTCAGTTCTAGTTCAGTTCTAGTTCAGTTCTAGTTCAGTTCTAGTTCAGTTCTAGTTCAGTTCTAGTTCAGTTCTAGTTCAGTTCTAGTTCAGTTCTAGTTCAGTTCTAGTTCAGTTCTAGTTCAGTTCTAGTTCAGTTCTAGTTCAGTTCTAGTTCAGTTCTAGTTCAGTTCTAGTTCAGTTCTAGTCAGTTCTAGTTCAGTTCTAGTTCAGTTCTAGTTCAGTTCTAGTTCAGTTCTAGTTCAGTTCTAGTTCAGTTCTAGTTCAGTTCTAGTTCAGTTCTAGTTCAGTTCTAGTTCAGTTCTAGTTCAGTTCTAGTTCAGTTCTAGTTCAGTTCTAGTTCAGTTCTAGTTCAGTTCTAGTTCAGTTCTAGTTCAGTTCTAGTTCAGTTCTAGTTCAGTTCTGTTCAATTCTAGTTCAGTTCTAGTTCAGTTCTAGTTCAGTTCTAGTTCAGTTCTAGTTCAGTTCTAGTTCAGTTCTAGTTCAGTTTAGTTCAGTTCTAGTTCAGTTCTAGTTCAGTCTAGTTCAGTTCTGTTCAGTTCTAGTTCAGTTCTAGTTCAGTTCTCTAGTTCAGTTCTAGTTCAGTTTAGTTCAGTTCTAGTTCAGTTCTCTAGTTCAGTTCTAGTTTCAGTTCTAGTCAGTTCTAGTTCAGTTCTAGTTCAGTTCTAGTTCAGTTCTAGTTCAGTTCTAGTTCAGTTCTAGTAAAGTTTTAGTAAAGTTCTAGTTCAGTTCTAGTTCTGCGAACATTTGTGTAGTGTATCGACTTTGCAGATCTTGAGAACTAAAATGCATCCCTTGGTGTGGAGTATAAATTCAATGCTTTATAACTAAAGTGGAAGAAAACATTCAGCATTCGATCAAACTTTTGTTTTTTTTTTAATTTCGTCCGTATTTCATTCCCATGGCAAAACTATAACACTAATATTTACTACAATTTACTTTAATCAAATCTTAATTTGACTGAATTATCCTATAGCATAATCACTTTGAGTCACCTAATTTAAATGTGAAATTCGAAGCAAATAACAATAATTGAGTTTTATCGATTTGCAAAATAAACATTTATAAACTATTTTAAATTCCGTAAAATTATTGTTAATATTATGAAGACAATTTTCGCAATTATTAAATTTATCATTTGTATCAGCAAGCGCGCCTGACGAAATGTTCGATTTCAAAATTATAATAATTTATGACATAAATTCAAAACTCAGATCATAAATCTGTGGCATATTATTTCATATGAATGGGTGACCGAATGAAAAATGATAATGTAATTTTGTATAAGATTTATATTTAAGAAAAACTATTTAAATTATCACTACTCATACTCGTAAGATGACAAATCTTCATATTTTAAGTTACAAGAGAAGAAAAAAAACCTTCAAATTATTCAGTAAATCTTCCAAAACAAAAGTTGATTGGATTTGCATAGAAAAATTTGCTGACAACAACAAAAAAAAAGTAATACATTTCACAAATACCTGACTGTATGTACATATTACCAAGAAATTAACATTATAAATTAAAAGTACTCTCTTTCTCACTCTCTCTCCATTGTTAATATTTGTTTTTCTCCTAAAATCCGACACTCTCATTGTAACTAGATTTGTAATTGTTATTTGTATTTTAGTTAGTTGTGATAAACTTGCAGTTTGTTGTTTTAGTAGTTTGGTTTTGTTTTTATTGTTTGTTTAGTTGTTGTATTGTTTGGATGGTTTTGGCAGCAGCAACAGCAGCAAGTAGTTACCTGTAACAAATCAGGCGAATACTTCAGTGCAAATGCGCATGCGCGCATGAACGGTTCATATTTTATTAGTTGAGAGTTTCAAATACAAAATAATCGAAAATTTTGCGAGAAATTATTGCAAGAAAATATTAATAATTGTGAAAAGTATATAATTTTTTAAAAAATATAAAGAATTTTTGTTAAAAAATATCAAACAAAAAAACACCAAGAAATGTTTTAAAAACCAAAAATTTTTAACTAAAAATTAAAGTGTTTTTTTTTCTTTTATTCAAACAAGAAAATTACTAATATTTAAAAGTGTCCAACTAACAACTTAATTTGGTGTTGTGAAATTTATTATTTTCTTTGCTGACAATTATTTGAGTGGATTATATTTCTAACAAAATGGTAAGTAAGCTGTTAATTGCTTTTTTTTCAAAAATACAAGGATTTGTTTTCTTTATGCGTATAATACTTATTGTGTGTGTGACTTATATGTCTACAAATGATTAATGACCTGGGTTTATGGAAAATCCATTACTTTGTTTAGACAGATCGTGAAAAATCCCAGAAAACCTGCTGTGATAATTTTTATGGAGATACAAACTGAGTTGTTAATTTTTCTACACGCTAATGTGTTAAAATTAACTAAGGTCATGGAAAACAAGTCCTTTAGAATTAGAGGACGAAATTTACACTTAAAGAAATTTCTGGTTTCAATATTTTTTATTACAAAAACTAATATTTTATTAGACTTCTATACTTTTATCAATAACAGTTTAAACTGTTAAAAGGAGCCTTTTTATTTTAAGAAACTTTAGAGACATATTTAATAAAGTTATCAACACTTTAATTTTTACATTAAGAAAAACAAAATTATATTTAGTTTAAAAAAGTAGTGTTACTTTTAGGGTGAGAGTAAATAAGGGCCTAACCTCTAAAATTTAACAACGTTTGTGAACATTTAGACAACGGATGTGCATAAAGTTTAGATTGCAACAACGAATTGTTGTAATATTGACAAAGTTTCGTGGTCTACATTACATGTTGTTGTTGTATGTACTTGACAACGGATGTTACTGAAAAATTTGGTGTCAATTTGGTAACAGGCGTGTATATTTTTTTCCTATGTGCAGGATTCAGATTTGTATAAAAATCTACAAAAGTGAATTTGGTACGTTTTGTTCTTCAACTGGTACTTTTTGATTCTTTTGTCGTTCGACTGGTAGTTGGAAGTATTAAACTAAGAAACATAAAATTTGCAATGAATGAAATATTCATGTTGATACTAAAGTGCTCCAAAAAAATTTGAGGACTCTAGCTGTTATATTTTCTTAAATATACTAATTTAAGTTTTTCTTTGTATGGGAGGTGCCACGCCCACTGTAGTTAGACTGTCCCTATACGTTCATATGAATGTCAAAGTTTTTCATATAAAATTTGAAGACTCTGGCTGTTTCTGTTTCGCAGATAAACGAATTTTAGTATTTAATTCCTATGGGAGATGCCACAGACCCTATTGCTAGTCCGCCAATTTGTTGTCCAAAATATTCATGTTGATGCTAAAGTGGCTCCGAAAAAATTTAAGGACTAGCTGTTATATTTTCTCAAATTTAAGTTCTTCTTTATATGGGAGGTACCACGCCCACTGTAGCTGGACTGTCTATTTTGTCCCGTTCACATGGATATCAAAGTTTTTTTATACAGAAGCTGTTCCAGTTTCTGAGATATACGACTTTTAAGACTTACTTTGTATGTGGGTGTGGCCTACTTGAGATTACAAAACAAAAGATAGCCTATAGTTCCTTCCAGATATACCGGAAGACTAGTCCATTGACTAGACAATACACTATTCTATATGCTAGACAAAAGATTATTCTGTGGACTAGACCATAGATTATAGTTTTAAAGCTAGTCCAAAGACTAATTAATAGAATAGTCACTAGACCATAGAGAAATCATTAGATGAACCCATAGTCTAATAAAAGAAAAACTTTAAACGTCTAGTTAAAAACACATAGATTAGTTATTAAACAAGTCAATAGACTGGTCCTTAAACTAGACAATAGAGAATATAGTAGTCTATAAACTAGACAATGGTCTATAGATTAGACTAGCCAATAGCAAAGACCATAGAAAAGTCTTTAAAATTATATAAAATTTTAGCAATTGAATACAAAAATAAACCAAAAAAGTGCACTCTTTGCTTGTAATCTTTTCCAGAATTCGTTACAATAAAATTTTTCAAATAGAATATGCTTAGAAGGCTTTTTGGTAAATGCAAAACTAAAAATAAATTTTGAAGGTTTTTATCATGAATTCCTTAATTTCAACAAAAAAAGTTTTGAAAACATATTGGCCCATCTAAAATTCCTTAATTAGCGAATATATAATCGATATCCCTTCCTTTCCTTTCTATACCATTGTGCAGCTTTCATTACGAATTGTTACTATATGGAAAAGTTATAATCAAAAGTCAGTCCAAAAGATGGTTTCTTAAATAGCAGAAGATCAGTGGATAACAATGAGAGTTATACTTTGACTTTGCAACAGTTAATACGAGTTCTCTTAAGTACTTGTCAAGGAACTATATTGACGAAATGTATTAATCATCATAAAAAAATTAATGTCTTAATTATAATGTTTAGAATGATCGAAAATTATATATACCAAAGGTCCCAGCATAAACTTAGTAATGCATGTACCTATACAATTTACTTTGAAATGACCATTTCATACCTTCTGCATTACTTTTAAGTTCGCTAATAATGACTCATACGTACATATACATATAACCAATCAAAACAAACTTTTAACGCCATATCTGTAAGTAATTAATTAAGTACTTACATGTAAGCGAGTGTGCTTTATATTTTTTTATATTTGCATTTTAACTCCTTACTTTTCAATCTGTGCTATTGCTGGGGTAGTCCAGTTTTTCGTTTGTTTTCCAACTAAAATTTTATATAACCAGCGTATACCTACATCTGATTTTCTTGCAGTTTTTTTTTATAATTATAATGCCAAAAAAAAATCTCACAATAAAAATATTTACACCTTTAACAAGTTTGCAACTTGTAAAATATAATTAGAATTTCCATTTAATATGCAAATTAATAAACATCTCTACCAGCAATTTTTTTTTTGCACTAAATTTCCCACACAGACAGACGACCCCTAATAATTAAACAGCTATAATAGCAGACTGCTCCAAATATCCGTAATAATTACAAGTAAAAATCTATAAAACAAAAGAAAACAAAAACACGGACGGCTTAATGAGTGATTATGACGATATGATGATGAGGAAGTTGAACCTCCTCATTGCCGTCAACATTTATGTTACCGTTATATTTAAAATTAAGAGACGACTCTAAGACAAAAACTAAAGAAGAGGAAAAAAAAGCATCGAAAAAAATTAAAAACTTTTGAAGCGTATAGTTAAAAAATTTTCGCACTTCTTCGTTTTATTACACATTTTATTTAGTTTAAACCAAAAAACAAAAAACAATAGTAAAAACAAAGAAATAGACAACAACAGAAAAAAAAATCTTTAATTTTTATGTAACATTACGATTTTAATTGTTGTCCAAGAAGTAAAACAGAAAAAAAACAAGTAAGAAAGTATAGTCGGGCGAGGCCGACCATATGATACCCTACACCAGTTATGAATATTAAATGTGATTTATTTTTCATAATAAAGCATTTATCTTCAATATTCCCTTGTTCCGATACATTTAAGCAATTTATGGATGAAAAACTAATTTTCTAAAAGAGGCTTTATATGGGGGCTAGGGGCAAATATGGACCAAGCCCGATAAAATTTTGTGAATATATTTATATTTACATAATATTTTATTGTGCTGAATTTCATCGCGATATTTGTGTTTATAAGTTAATTTGGGACATTCAAGTAATTTTCTGAAGGGGACTTTGTATGGGAGCTAGGGTCAAATGGGGCCCGATCTTTATGAAATTTGGCAGGGTCATCAAGACTTCTATAAAACTTAGTTGTGCCATATATTATCGATATATCTGTATATTTAACATAATTAAGAGCTCAGAAGCCCTTTTCGGGGGTTCTGTTCTATGGGGGCTAGGTGAAATAATGGACCGATTTTAACCATTTTCAATAGGCTTCGTCCTTGGGTCAAATAAAATGTGCATGCCAAATTTCATCCAATTATCTTGAAAATTGCGACCTGTAGCTTGCGCACAAGGTTTACATGGACAGCCAGCCAGCCAGCCAGCCAGACGGACGGACGGACGGACATAGCTTAATCGACTCAGAAAACGATTCTAAGCCGATTGGTATACTTTAAGGTGGGTCTAGGACGAATATTTTTGTATGTTACAAACATCAGCACAAATCCAATATACCCTCCCCACTAAAGTGGTGTAGGGTATAAAAACAAAATTATTTAACATGCCTCACACTTTTTTTCGCTGTTGAAGATGATAATGTTGGTTATTGTGTGATTTTTTTATTACAATAATCATAATAACTGAAATACAAATATTTATGAGTTTTTCTTTAAGTCCAGGAATAACACATAAAAAGCAGATAAAAAAGAAATACATTAAAATCACTGAACCATGATCGTTAAAAAATGTTTTGTGTGTAATAATACTTATTTTACTTATTTTACAAATGCAATTTACATATTAAATATTCCTATTTATTCATTTACTCATTCATTCAGTCAGCCAGTAATTTAGACATTCATTTATTTAGTCATTTATTCATTCATACATGTAATTAAATTTACCACATCTGTAATCAAATCATAACGTTGAAATTTTACTTAATGTTGATGAGAGTTGATAGATGATTTAATTCTCATATTGTTGACCATCATTAAGTATTTTCAGTTAAATGTGTCAATTAATTATGACATCTTATCTTATTAAAGATCGAAATGATGATCTAGTCTGATTTTAAATATCTTTCAACATAATCAACAGACAAGATGTCGAAGTGCTTTACGTGAACAACTGCCATGTTGGCCATATTTCACGGTGGTACTTTTTCAACCACAGGTTGAGCTGATTAGACAACTCACCACCGCCCCATTATGCTTGTAACACGCAATTTTTGAGCATGGTTCTGCCGGTCCATGTACAAACACTTTACTGTAGTTCTCGAGCTACTAATCTCTGACCATTGCTGTCGCGTTGCTTAATTTCCGAGATGAAAAGACATCCGTTTATCACCATGCAAATCGAATAGACTCAGTTAGAGACATTAGAATCCATAAAATAAGCCAAGGATTTGTTCTTACTCACAGACAACACACTTTGGTAAATCTGATATGAACAGAGTAAACCCTGGACAATGAAGGAAAATTCAATGGTATCATTTGTATACGATACCTTCCATCTATCACCATTCAATCCAGGTCACTTCT